TCGTGACGTCACGAAATACGTCACGAACCATACATCTTTTGTATTTATAAAAATTCACCCTTTGCTTTCTGGGTCAAAAGCATATACTGTAAAAAGATCAGAAGAAAAGATAAAACATAGTCTCAAGTTGAAATGAAATAAAACAAATATCGAACAAAAAGAAAATATAAAAGCAGATGCCTAGCGTAAAATGTCCGGTGGATAATAAGAGGACTTAAATATAATATCTAATAAATTAATATCCTATCAAAAAAAAAAAAAAAAAAAAAAAAAAAAAAAAAGAAGTACATAGACTTTCGAATCTTAAAGGAAGGCAAATAAGATGTAAATCGAAAAAAAAGAAAACGCCATAAAGAGGGGAAACTCAATTAAAATGGTGAACACAATAAATCGAAATATAAAGACGATGTTAAGTAATAACAATAATCATAACAATTTTGTTATAATTATAATAATGATAATAATAATAGTAATTATGTTGATAATAATAGTAATGATATTGATAATGACAGCAATTATAATAATAATAATAATAATGATAATGGTAATATTAATGATATATATGATAGTAATAGCATTAATAGTAAATATAAAAATAATCACAATGATGATAATGATGATGATAATAATAATAATAATGATAATAATGATAATAATCACAACAGTAATATTGACAATAATAATAACAACAATGATAATCGTAATAATATCTTTATTATTATAATCATATTACGATAATCAAATCATCATCATCATAATTACCAAAAGTTTGACTATACCCTAATTACTCTTAGGAATTATACACAAGCTGACAAATTACATTTTATTGTTGAATTACTTTATCTTAGTCTTTATAATATCAAATTTATATTATGGAAAAAAGTTATTTATCAACACCTCCAAAATATCGAAATAGCAGAAAGTGGGTATGAACATTTTAATTGATTAATGTCATTGTATTAACTATACAAATTCTTATCATATTTTTCCCTTCGTATGTAGACCTTGTTTTTACATAAAAAATTACTATTATAACATTAATAATAGATGCCTTTACACGTTCATATTCAATTAGTGATACACAATGACGAAAATAACTATGTAGAAATGTCTATATACAGTATATACACATAAATATAAATAAATACATATATACACATATATATATAATATATATAATATATATATATATATATATATATATATATATATATATATATATATATATATATATATAATGATGTATATATGTATTTATTTATATTTATGTGTATATACTGTATATAGACATTTCTACATAGTTATTTTCGTCATTGTGTATCACTAATTGAATATGAACGTGTAAAGGCATCTATTATTAATGTTATAATCAGTATGAATTTTATGTAAAAACAAGGTCTATATACGAAGGGAAAAATATGATAGGAATTTGTGTAGTTAATACAATAACATTAATTAATTATATATATATATATGTGTGTGTGTGTGTGTGTGTGTGTGTGTACATATATACAGTTTAGAAACACCTGTGCATGATTTTCAAAATGTCCAGTCTTGTTGAAAACTGTTTTTCTTATGTTATCTCATGGCTTACAAAGAAGTGGTATTTGCAGTGGTGGGTCGATACCAAGCCATGATCCTTTTGATTCTAAGGCATGTTTATGGTATAGCTTCTGCTAGAGTCAAGTTTTACTCTCTATTCTCTTACTAAAAAGGAAAGGAAAAAGGAGTTTCTTGTCGGAAATGATGGTTGTAACAGATTTTTTTCTTTTTCTCTCGCTCTCTCGTTCTTTCTTTCTCCCTCTCCCACCCTCCTTTCTTCTCTCTCGTTCTCGCTCTCTCTCTTTCCCCTTCCCTCCTTTCTTCTCCCTCGCCCTCTTTCTCTCTCTCCCTCCCCCTCTCCTTCCTCTTCCTCCCTCCCCTCACTTTCTCTCTCTCTCTCTCTCTATCCTCCCCCCTCTCTCTCTCCCCTTCCCCCCCCCTCTTTCTCTCTCTCTCTATCCCTTTTCGAAAGACGACGCTCTTTGGCCCTGGATTCTTACATGTTCACACACTGATCGTAAATGCATAGGTTACGACCTTTATACAACTCTGTTCATATCCACCAAATTTTTGGGTACTAAGTGACAGTCTAGTCTTCACCTAAACAATATTTCAGCTCTCAATAACTCCTTGTAGTAACACACGAAGAATAATTAATAACTCGTGTAAACTATTACTTAAAAAAGTGTTTATTTTGTTTCCTTGTTCCGTTAATTTTGAGGCGTCTGTTTTTCCCCAATTATTCCAGATTTTACGAGTCTGGGGTGACTGAATCCCAAAATTGAAAATGTTTTGACCAAAATACAAGTTATGTCGTATTTTGATATATTCCTGGGTTCGAGCGATTGTAAAATGTGTTTTTCTGTGTTTTCATAAAACATTTTTTGGGTTAGACTGTAGTATTAACAAATTGAAGTATTTTTTCTTTGTTTTATATATTTATATGTTGCTTCTAACTACATCTAACACTACTATCGTTTAGAAATAAATGGAAATATAATCTTTTCTCTTGGCTCTGAATAATTTTAATCTTCAAATTTTCTTGAACAAAATAGGTGCATATTTCACGTGTTGGTCCAGCAAACCCGCTCAAATTATTCATTTGTTTGTTTGGAGCTGCACATATTTCTTCTCATATGTACGTTCCTTTTGACCCGCACGTTTCTCATCTGTGCCCAGCAATCCAGCTTCTTTGTCCATTTGTTTATTTGTTTGTCTCTGTCTAGTCTCGCTTCTGGACATTCATAGTCTTCATGCCTCTGATGTCGAAGATTTCCTTGGATGTGAACGAGGCGATGATCTTCCTCTCTCCGTGGATGCGCGGCAGGAACCTCAAGGTGTATGTGAACTCTCCGTGGGCCGGCACCTCGCTGTCGAAGTTAGGGAACCGTGTTATAAGATTTGACCTTTGTGAATTTGATAATATTATGTGAAATCTAGATGACCTAGATAAAACAATTTAGTATTTTCTTCCTTATGTCTGATATGATTTTGTGAGTATGACCTACGCACATATTCAATTAGAAACTTATATATACGCTCCCTTTCCCCCATCATGACGTCTGCAACAACGGGGCTTTACTCACGTGTTGATATCGATGGCCCTCGGACGCATGAGACCGGCTCCGTCCACACTCAGGTGGCAGTCGGTCAGAGGCATGTCCAGCGGGTTCTTGAAGGAGAAGGTCGCTTCGCAGGCCACGCCGACCTTCGGGTGTGAGTCAACCTTGAGAAAATATGAGAAGAATTTGCCAATATGTATGGATGAATACCCAAAATCGTAGAGAAAAAAAAGTTCACATAACGTACATTAGTACTTGGGGTGAAACAGAGTAAAGCATAAAGGTTATGATATACTTTTGAGAGCCTGAACGAATCCAGACTATGTATATTGTAATTTGCAAACCAAGCTATATTAGGGAGCTAGAATTTCTCACCCACTCTTTTCACAGAGTCTACGATTTCTATATAGCCTGGATCAGCTACGATTTCAAAAAATAAGCTTTTGTAAGAATAGATTCTCACTCCCCTTTCTCAATTGAATATATGCCCCCTCTTCAAAACAACCACAGCTTCTGAAGGACATCTTTCACACCATGCATTTCTGATCCTATTCCAGTTGTCTACGATTCCCGACTCCTCATTTTCACAGCTAACAAATCGAACTCTCTCCATAGCAGCCCTCTCTTACCTGGATTTTCAGCTTTGGTTTCGTCACTGCGAAGTCGTCTTCCTCACTCCATGTCTGCCAGGTTTCGTCCACATGACAGATGGCATAGATCTTCACCAAACAGTGCTCTACCATCTTCTCCCAGTACTCACTGTATGTCACCGTCAGGGAAACCTCCTGTTGTGGATATAAACATCAACCAGTCAGTGCAGCTGACGGGGGCGCATGGCCGCATCCACCCTTCGCTAAGTGGATATACAGTGACAATGTCCCTCACGGCGAGCCAGGAATATTTCATTTCAAGACCCGCACTCAAGGAAGCTGTTACTGATAACCGGTGATACTGTACTGAATATTTCGAACTGATAAAGGGAATGAAGCTGATCCTAGAAAGCAGTAATTAGGCACTGACCTGTTGCTGCTTTGGCTGCAGTTTGAACTTGCTTTCTGTCTTCTTGATGAGGGAACCGCTGACACCGTTGTAATAGACTGAGCGAGCCGTCAGGAAAGTGCTGACACTTCTTGGCTCATTGGAATCATTTCGAGCCAACAACTAGGATTAGGACGCGATTCAGTAACATATTAGACTGGATACTGATTCGTTTATAGTAGGATTTGTATACAGATTATAATATATCTCCATTTCATACCTTGGGTTTGTATTTAAATATGCACATTTACCATGACTGTACACGCAACTTGAGCGAAACTACAAAAAACTAGGGATATATGTTATATACATGGTTGCAGGCAAGGCTTGTTATGAACAGACATTTCAAGTAATTGTAAAATTTCATATAGTCGCGAGCACCACCCAGTAGTAGCTCACCAGAACCTTGAATTCCTGCCCAATGGTGACCTCATCGATGTCAACGAGGTCGAAGAAGACGTCATTCTTCTGTCCGGGATTGCACTCGTAGTTTTTCTGCGCCTGAGAGCTTCCTAGGATGGCGTTGCGGACGGCCAGCCGCTCCGCCACCGAGAACTCAGGGTTCTTGTAGCTGCTGAGGAGGTCCTCGCGGTCCGTGTCGCCGAAGTCGTCGTCCATTCCGCAGGCCTTCGTCAGGATCTGGAGGGGGAAAGGTTCATGTTTTAGGTGAAGTTGTGGACGAAAGTAGTGATAGTTGTGATTTTCAAGATTGTTCGGATCGTTTGTGGGATTTCACTTGCTAAAGAAACTTTACACTACTAGAAAGAGAAACTTTTCTGTCAGGAGCAGAGGAAGCCGGAGAGTGGGCCAGAAGAAAAGCTGAACGAAACGAACGAAGCATGAACGAAACGAGCGTCCAATTTGGTACTTGTAGATGCTAGCCCGTGTCTGTTTTTTTTTCTTTCTTTTTCTTTTCTTTTTTGGGAGAGTAATGCAAATTATGTATATGGGGCTGCTCTCGCTTCCAAACTGTCTACTGCTAGAGAACACATTCGGCTTCAGTTACGAGGAGCAGGAGGAAGGGTGAAGTTAGTCAGAGAGAACCCTTTAGTCAGACGTAAACATATGAACAGCGCATGAACGAACCGATCGGCCGACGTGGCACTTGATCGTTCCTATCCTCCTCCAACCCCAGTCGCTCTCTGGGTCCTCCGCCCAGTGCATGACGTCGGCGTTGACTTCGGCGAACACGAAGGGCGCGTCGTAGCTCAAGCCGATGTCTCCCTTCCTCACGGCTTCCAGGGACGCGGGGCCGCACTGCATCTTTGCTGTCGACAGAGAGGCGACATTAGAGGCAAATCCTGGATTTTCTTCAGATATCAAAGACATTCATCGCCATGGTAATAAATCTCAACATACAGAAAAGTTATTTCACAATTAAACCCAATTGTCAAAGAAAGAGTTGGGGGCGTAAAGGTTGGTGGAAATGAAAGGGGTCTTGGCTTGTTGGTTTATTGGGGAAGGTAAGGCGTGACCCCTGAGAGTGACCTCGACTGCCGAGGGCGGAGGGTGACCTCCTGTCTTGTGACTGCTTCTTCTGTCTGCCTCTTTTGCTTCTCAAGACGTCCTTATATTCTGCGAGTGCTCTCCTGCTGCTGGGTGTCTGTTTCTGATTTGTGCGGTGCCGGACTTCCGGCCATGACAAGGGGGGGGGGGGTTCGCCGGACTGGCTCGAGGCACTATAAGTGCTTGGGCAAAGGAAGCCAGAAGGAAGGCAGCTGCAGACCCATCCGGTTTGAGCATATTGTTGACAACAATAACAGACATCAAACTACAGCAGGTACTCACACTCGCTCTCCTCCTGTGGCGTCGCGTCGATCGCCTGCCATCCACCGTAGCCGGGAGGGAGGTCAGGGCGGGCCATCCACACGTCATTCCACACGTGGAAGGTCCAGATGGTCTCCCCGCCCAGCGCCTCGCCGCCCCGCGTGAAGAATCGGTCGATGGTCAAGGAGGCGTTCGAGTCGTGGCCGGAGGCGTAGGTCGTGACGGAGCGGCTGGGGATGCCGAGGGCGCGGCACACTCAGGGAAAGCAATGCAGGTCAGGGTGCGTGTGGGTTATATATACATATATATATGCATGCATAAATGTGTGTGTGTGTGTGTGTGTGTGTGTGTGTGTGTGTGTGTGTGTGTGTGTGTGTGTGTGTGTGTGTGTGTGTGTGTGTGTGTGTGTGTGTGTGTGTGAGTACAGGAATATGACTTAAAGGTTAATATTCATCCATAAGGTAATTGGAATTTGATCCTGGATGCTGCCGTTGTACATGGCGCATACAGGTTTCTGTAGACCTATCTACATCCTACTCTCTCTCCATAGGATTTGCTCCTGCAACTGCAGCTGTGTGATATCCAGTCCGTCTGAATATACAGTAAACATACACATACATCAATCTAGAGGCAGATACAGCAACAATACGGCCACATTCCTGTAACCACACACATGCAGCTGTGCCTACACGTGTGCACTTCCTACCTGTGGTCACAAGTCCGGAGAAGACCCAACACTGGCCGTACTTGACAGGCTTGTACCCAGTCTCCTTATACTGTTGCAGAATCCTCGCGCTTCCTGTCCAGATGAAGGGGAGATGGCCGTCGTCGTAGGGTGGGCGCCACTTGCCTACCAGAATGCCTCCCTCGTCGCCAGAATTCACCTGAGACGAATGGATGTGTTAGTTCTGCCAGTTTATAAAAGGGGGAGGCGGTGTCAGAAATGTATTTCAGTTACGGGTATAGGTGAGAGGGGAGAAAGACATTTCGAAATTATGCATTCGTTTGGCAGTTCTCGAGATGGAGATGCTACGTAGCTCAAATTGTGTGTGTAGTAGTTCTGCCAGTTAACAAGAGGAGAAAATGCGTATTTTTAGTACCCAGGTTAGTTCTATCTAAAAATATATATTGAAAGTCTGTGGTGAATCAGTGTCCAAAATTCCAGCTATTATTTTGTGCTCAAAGGTATAGAGAACTTGTGTAAATTCGTTTTCGAAAAAAAGCAAGGACTAGTGTGACATTCCCTAATGTTTATATTGTAGGCAAAACATATTTTAATTCGTCAGCCGAAATACAAGGATATTCGTGTCCCAATGATCGCGTTATAACATAAGGCAATTTAAACCCACCATCTAAAACGCTAGGCCTCCGCTTATCTCCTTCTCCTCCCTTATACCCTTTCCACCCTTCTCCTTCTCTCCTACCCTTCTCATTTACCCTACCTTTTACCCTCTGCACCACTATTCTTCTCTCCCTTCCATCCCTCTCATTTACCCTCTCTTTTACCCTCTGCACCACTATTCTTCTCTCCCTTCCACCCCTCTCTCCTCCTCTCCCTTCCGCCCCTCTCCCCTTCTCCCCCTCCTCTCCCTTCCTACACCTTGAGCTTCTCGAGAACTCACCGCCGCAGAGATGGCTCGCACCACACGGACGGGATTTCCGCGCACGCTGTCGCCGACGCCGCTCAACTCGAGGATGTACACGGCGACGGGGAGAACCACGTCGTCGAACTGCCCAAAGACCCACGGAGCTCCGACTATTCGTTGCTTGTCGGTTAAAGTGAAAATCTTGCCCGTGTCATTCATCACATACTCTTCCAGCTTCCCCTCGTCACCGAAGTAAACCTGGTCGTCTTGCGAGAAATTCATCCAGCATTCACATATTGCGAAATCAGAGAGAATGCAAAGGAGACAGAAAGAACAAAAGCATATATTTCTTCACGTCTCCTTTAGTATGCACAATAGGCAACATGATGACCTGCACCTTCACTTAGGACTACGTACATGGGACTACACAGGCAGGAGAATGATTACCTAAGCACCAGGGGTTGAAGAGGACGTAGCAGTCTGTCTCGTCAGTGTAGACGTTCTGGCCATGCCCCTGAGTCGTGTCCTGGAGGCCACAGCGGACTTCGAGCCTCCAGATCCCCACCATTGCGCAGGCGGGGATGTGCACCTGTAATCCATACGGGAATGTGACTTCAAAAGGGAATGCAGTAACAAAACTCGCTGAATTCGAGCTTCTGGTCACAAAGAGAAAGAAGGGTTTGGAATAGTAATAAAAATAGTAATAAAAAATAAAGGGAGATCTAATCAATTAAAGAGTATAAATACATGTTTCTGCCGTATTTTCTCGCCAATCCAAGTGATTCTCATCTATGTTATGTGCCAAGTGTACCATTTTTGCACCTTTGCCTACTTGTCTGTATCAACTTCACTGTTGGGGGTTCTCTATTCTATGCATGTCGAAGGTCCCAACTTGCCACATCCCCTCCAGTGTTAGGTACTCTGTCCATTTAAACCCATGTCAAACACATGCGCCTTATGGTAGGGTAAAAATCGTACTTGGGTAGTAAGTCTAGATGTTATGCGAGCATTTTGTGTCCAGTTTAGTAAAATGCTATATTCCAAGTATACAATCCCCTCCCAGGTGCTACATACTCCCTTAAGTACAAAATGCTTTAAATAACATTCAGTCCCAATAAGTCTTGTAAGAAGAGTCATCTAATACTAGAAAAGTCTTGGCATATTTCAAACAGTAGGCATACAACTGAGGAGTTTCCGAAGGACCCACCTGCAGGATGAGATGACGGCCGTTGCTCCTGCTGTCGATCCAGCTGGCCCAGTCCTTGGTCTTCGTGGACTCGTCGCTCAGCACTGGGATGACTGCTCTGGTGCCCTTCTGGATTAAGGGCTTGTTGCCTGTCGGGAGGACGTGGCCATGTAGCAGTGGTTGCCAACGCCATTTTCTCAGGCGACTCCAATCATGCATTTCCAGACATGACCGCGACCCCAGTCTGCGTCTTCAACACCCTCTTTGTTATACACTTGGTAAGACACTAGCCACTTCCACAGGTGCCTCTGTTTACGCTTCTTCGCCACTTCATCTTCAGGTATCTTTCTCTCTATTTCTCTCTATCTCTCTTTATCTTTCTTTCTCTCTTTCTTTTTCTCAACTTTCTCTCATTCTTTCTCTATTTCTCTCTCTCTATCTCTACAATGTATAGGCTCATATCTTATATTACCATATTTATATTATTCAGTAAATACGTGAATAATTCGATAAACAAAATTCACAACTGCAATTATATTTACTTTAGTTCTAGTTATATCAGAATTCGGTAGATTTTTTTATTTATTTTTTTTACTACAATTTAAATAATCAAGAAAAAATACCCATTAGCTCTCAGTCAATATGTGCCTACGTATATGCTGAAAACATTTCAAAATTGACAACTGACCACGTCTGATATTTTGATGCCTTGGTGACCCCGGGGTTGGGAAAGACTGCCGTGTAGTGACTGCTCTAGTAGAGAATACCAGTCCTACCTAGAGCAGTCATCACATGGCCATGTTCACCTGGACTTTTGGTCTATGATATTTGAACTTCTCGTCTGCTAACTACCCAGAAATAATACTCACCAAATTTGAAGTCCAAAATCACGCGATCCTTTTTCACGTCGAAGTCCTCCTTGAAACTGAGGGCGAGGGTGAAGGTCTGGCCACGACGGAGGACGGGCTTGGGCTCCGTCTCGTCGTGCACAAGGTCGTACTTGATGGTCTTGTGGTTCTTGGCATTGTCCTTGATGTACCATTTAGTGCCGCAGACCTTGTTGGCATAAGGAGCTGGGGATAAAGGAATAAGGCGAAGTCAATCTTTCTTTTTAATCTTTTTATCAATGCGTGACAGGAATCAGGTCCAGTAGTGTGAAAAATCTATTTCCAAAATGAAATAGTATAATAATGCATCAATATCAGATATAATGTAACCATGTTCATGCATAATCGTTTTATCATATAAGTCCAATATCATTATATACTATTTTATAATTCCATTTCTTGGCAAGGATTCCACACCTATTCAGTGCCCAAAGAAAGGTACTAGGATAGTGTTAAATCTACATAGAGATAGCAGTGCTAAGGTTAGGGGTGAGGATAACCTAAGTTACCTCGTCCCTTTGAGATATTTATATATATTTTTTTTCCCAATAAACGTGTCAATGTTAAAAAGTGCTAAGATATCACTAACATTAGTCAGTATCCAAAGAAAGCAGCACAGAGGGTCTCAATCCACCCGGTACCCAGAGAGAGCAATACAATATAGTTCAAGCAGATACTTAATGAAATCATAGCGAATCCATCCCTTTAAGGAACTTTCCAATAGCCTGCCTCAACCATCGCTAAAATAACAATGCTTTGAGTGGCTTATCGATGCTTCCATTGATTTCAAATCTAGTGCCATCTTTTCCGGCGATTACTTCAAACGCAACAACTCATTGAGTTGCCAGATGCATTCTTCCTACTTTGGATATTTCATGCATAATCGTTATTATATTGCATATCTATAACACCGTACAACCCACCATCAGATGTCAAAAGCCTTATAGGATATAATATTCCAAAAAACTGTGCGGGTTGATAAAAAAACACTACTGTAAAACAGCTCCCCGTCAACCACGACCATTCCCCTTACGTCACAGCAGTGGGCGGAGCTTAGCAGCCTGTCTCGCCTCCGATCACGAGGCAGCTTTTGGTGTCGCGTCGCGTCGCGAGACACCCTAATTGCCACCGGAAAAGATGGCTTAGCTTTACTCACGTTTCTCTGTCTCAACTTCGTTTCCTTTCCAATAGATGGAGTTGTGGTGACGAGACATGATTCTGTTGAAGGAAAAGGAACTGAAATCAAAGGGGAATTGAGACATTTGATTCCTCTGTATGTTGGAACCTGAAATAAAATTGGAAATGATTGGCATGATCCTTCTATTGATGAAATCGGAACCTGAAAGTTAATTGGAGTTTCATCAAAAGCATCTGTCGATAAACTGAAAATTTGCGATATGCAACGCTCATCAGTTGAAGGAGGTGGAAACTGAAATTGAATTGGAAATGAGAGAAGTGTGTTTGGTGGAAATGGAACCTGAAATCAAAAATATGTTGAAAGTAGAGAAATCAGATGATGGCAATGGAAATATACATCTTATTTGATATTCAGAGAAAGTAAGAGAGAGAGAGAGAGAGAGAAAGAAAGAAAGAAAGAAAGAAAGAAAGAAAGAAAGAGAGAAAGAAAGAAAGAAAGAAAGAGAGAGAGATAATGGCAATGAAAGAATATATAATATTTGATATTCCGAATTCCATCCCATCTCAGAAAAATAAGAATAAATGGATAAATAAAGCAGTGTAGAGCAATTTAAAAAATATGTGTAAACTTGAGTACTGTGTCAGCTAATTAGAATAAAACAGTAAAAAGTAAAGAAAATAAAAGATAAAAAAGAGAGAAGGCAAATTGGAGTACTCCAGAGAATTGCGTGAGTTGCTAGTTTTTCCTTTTCTGAGATTAAACTAACATATTCGTAAACGAGAAAAATAGAGAATGTAAGAGAGACAGAGAGGGGGAGGGAGAGAGACAGAGTAAGAGAGAGTAAGAGTAGGAGAGAGAGGGGGGGAGAGGGAGAGAGTAAGAGTAGGAGAGAGAGAGAGGGGTGGGAGAGGGAGAGGGAGAGGGAGAGGGAGAGGGAGAGAATAAGAGTGAGGGAGAGAGTAAGAGAGAGACATAGAGTAAGGGAGAGAGAGAGTTTCGCCTTTTAATCCACGGCAATCAATAAGCCAGTCTACCAGCTTCATCGCCCAAAACAAGTGCAACGACAAAGTAAAAACACTCAATTATGAATACAGGAAACCTACAGCAAATTGTAGGGATTTAATTATGGATAATTAGAGTCTCTTTTGTGTTTTCATGAGTGAGTAATCACATGAGAGTGAGAGAAAGAGTTGGTGATAATATATATATATATATATATATATATATATATATATATATATATATATTAATAATAATAATAATAATAATAATAATAATAATAATAATAATAATAATAATAATAATAAATAGGGAGGTAGGTAGAAATACACATAAATGTATTCATCACAAACATTATAGGGAAACTCGATAATAACAGATTAGATATATGGTAATTATTCGAAATAGTTTCTTATAATAAGTATAGATTTGCTTAGATGATATAGAGCAGTTACTTATTCAAGTGGCAGTACACTGATCATGTCATTCTCCTGGGTTTTTTATTATTTTCACTCTTCCTTTATTCGCCACATTCCACTCGCGACGGCACGAGAAACACACTTATATCCCAGCACTTTAATAATATTAGGTGTTAGTTCACAACATGCACTGGTAAAGATTCTCTGGGTTATTACTGAGCGAGCGAGATACTCAATATGCTTTTATGTAGGAATTTAATGTTCGATTGGGCAGTTTTATTAGCCTCATACGGTACATTTCACTTGACCCATGTGTATGATATAACCTATTATAAAGATACAGTATTTGTCAGCTTATAAGAAGCACACCTCTTTATATATATATATAATGGTAATTTTCTATATTACCTTCACCTCTCCGATATCAACGATTTTGGTATCGTTGGATTCCTCTCACTCTGTACAATCCAAATATGTAGGTTTTATTGTGCGGAAACCCCTTGTTAGCAGCAAACTTGGGCCCTATATCGGGGGCGACGATGTCGGAGCGGCGGACGTAATATCCGCGCAGTAAAAACTATATATTTCCAATGTGGACAGTTAGAAGAATCCAACGGTACCAAAATCGTTGATATCGGAGAGGCGAAGGTATTATAGAAAATTACCATATATATAGATAGATAGATAGATAGATAGATAGATAGATAGATAGATAGATAGATAGATAGATAGATAGATAGATAGATAGATAGATAGATAGATAGATGGATAGATATGCTTCATCATTTACCGTAAATAAAATACATTATAGGAAACCTGTACCCTAACTCTTACCTCTTCGCAGATCAGCTGTAGAGTTGTTTATATTTTGGGCAAGAAAATTGTTATACAGGATGTGAAACTTGTATTTGCGGGTGTGATGTTTTGTGTTACCGCGCCAGACCACCAGGGCGGCGCACCATCCTAGCATTATGGTTGCTCTGTTATCCACTCACTGCAAATGGCTGCCAGGGGGATAAAAGTTTCACATTCCTTTCAAGTTTCTAGAAACATTTTTTTCGTGTTTCTTAAAGGTAACACAGTCGTTAAATAATGTAAGACATATCAGGTGTACTTTATGTAAATTGTGAAAGTGAATTGGCGAGCTTCCCACAGTACTGCTGACGTATCGTAAGCAATTTTTCGTAAGTTTGTGATAACAGACCAATGCGAATTCCTTTCCACGTTTTGCTTTTAGTAACACAATCTACCGTAATATTTTTTATTTAACATTCTATCATTATTAACAAATTTTGTTCGGTCTCCCATCCTAATACGGCCGCTTCAGACGCAGGTAAATTTTTTATCTTTAAAAATAAAAGCTTGTTTAATGCGTACGTCAGTTAATTCAGAATGATTCCTGTGTAATATAGTATAACAAATTTGTGATTATATCATAGGAATATATATAACCAGTGATTATATAAAGGATTAACATGATTTCTGACTACCATACCCGTAGCGTGTATGATGCAGCAGACTCCTTGTTTGTTGTTTGGGAATATCGAATGTTTGTTATTGAGGTCCAGAAGAGGGGAAAAGAAAGAAAGAGAGAGAGAGAGAGAGAGAGAGAGAGAGAGAGAGAGAGAGAGAGAGAGAGAGAGAGAGAGAGAGAGAGAGAGAGAGAGAGAGAGAGAGGGAGAGAGGGAGAGAGGGAGAGAGAGAGGGAGAGGGAGAGAGGGAGAGGGAGAGAGAGAGAGAGAGAGAGAGAGAGAGAGAGAGAGAGAGAGAGAGAGAGAGAGAGAGAGAGAGAGAGAGAGAGAGAGAGAGAGAGAGAGAGAGAGAGAGAGAGAGAGAGAGAGAGAGAGAGAGAGGAGGGGAAGACAGAGAGAGAGAGGGGAAGACAGAGAGAGAGAGGGGAAGACAGACAGATAGACATTAATAAAAACATGTATCTATACGGGAGAAAAAAAAAATATATGAAGCGTTACATTGTTGGACGACCAGATGGCGTATGGTGTTTCCTCACCATTCACCTTATAATTTAGGGGAAAGTAAAGACAAAGCCCTAAACCACGAGAATTCTAAATTCATACCTACTTACCTTCATTCACAGAGGCGTGACCAGCGAAATTGCTGCGTTCGGAACTGCTCATCTTGCTCGTCCAGACATCTTGTCCACGACCCAGCAGGACAAGGTGGGCCGCGTTCGGAACCTCCAAGACCTTTCTGCCTCAATGCAACCGACTCGAATGTAAACATTCACTTTTTTATCATACCGGTGTCTATTTTACACGCTGCATAGGTTTTGTAACTCCTTTGATGCATATTTAACTTACCTGCAACTGACAAACACAAAAATATCCTTTGATAACACCAATAAAGGCTCATAAAATTACCCACCAATATCTTGTGGTTCCCTGCAACTGTCAATGTTTACATACAAAATCTATTGTGACATCTCGTCCTGCTCGGCCACCTTCGCTGGGGGGGGGGGGGGGGGGGGGGGGCGAGTTGACGAGCTAGACTACTTGTCCGGGACGAGATAGTGGAGCTTCCGAACGGTCAAAACATCTCGTCCAACTGTTCTGGACGAGATGGACGAGCAGTTCCGAAAGCATCGTAAGGAACTTATATGCCAGAGTGTAGAGTATTTATTATATATTTTATTTTTTTTCATTTATTTTTATTTATTTATTTATTTATTTTTTGAGTGGGGAATATTACATTTTTTTCATGCGCGGAAATCGTCATTTTGCCTACATTTGTGCGGACTGATCTGCGGATAACAATAACAATGATAACAATTAAAGTCTTTTCTCTCTCTCTCTCTCTCTCTCTCTCTCTCTCTCTCTCTCCTCTCTCTCTCTCTCTCTCCTCTCTCTCTCTCTCTCTCT